GAGTGTCGTACAAGACTGTCCCACAACAGTGTCCCACTAGAGCGTCTCACAAGAGTGTCCCTTAAGAGTGTTCTACACGAGTATCCCACAAGAGTGTCCTACAAGAGTGTCCCACAAGAGTTTTCCACAAGAGTGTCCCACAAGAGTGTCCTACAAGAGTGTCCCACAAGAGTGTCCCACAAGAGTGTCCTACAAGAGTGTCCCACAAGAGTTTCCTACAAGAGTGACCCACAAGAGTGTCCTACAAGAGTGTCCTACAAGAGTGTGCCACAAGAGTGTCCCACAAGAGTGTCCTATAAGAGTGTCCCACAAGAGTGTCCCAAAAGAGTTTCCTACAACAGTGTCCTAGAAGAGTGTCCCACAAGAGTTTCCTAAGAGTGTCCCACAAGAGTGTCCTGCAAGTGATCCACAAGAGTGTCCCACAAGAGTGTCTCACAAGGTGTCCCACAAGAGTGTCCCACAAGAGTGTCTCACAAGGTGTCCCACAAGAGTGTCCCACAAGAGTGTCCCACAACTTTGTCCTACAAGAGTGTCCCACAAGAGTGTCCTATAAGAGTGCCCCACAAGAGTGTCCTACAGGAGTATCCCACAAGAGTGTCCTACAAGAGTGTCCCACAAGAGTGTCCTAGAAGAGTGTCCCACAAGAGTGTCCCACAAGAGTGTCCCGCAGAGTGTCCCACAAGAGTGTCCTACAAGAGTGTCGTACAGGAGTGTCCTACAAGAGTGTCCCACAAGAGTGTCCCACAAGAGTGTCCTATAAGAGTGTCCCACAAGAGTGTCCCACAAGAGTGTCCCACAAGAGTTTCCGACAAGAGTGTCCTACAAGAGTGTCCTACAAGAGTGTCCCACAAGAGTGTCCTACAAGAGTGTCGTGTAAGAGTGTCCCACAAGAGTGTCCTGCAAGTGACCCACAAGAGTGTTCTACAAGAGTGTCTCACAAGAGTGTCCCACAAGAGTGTCCTACAAGAGTGTCCCACAAAAGTGTCCCACAAGAGTGTCCCGCAAGAGTGTCCCACAAGAGTGTCCTATCAGAGTGTCCTACAAGAGTGTCCTACAAGAGTGTCCCACAAGAGTTTCCTACAAGAGTGGCCCACAAGAGTGTCCTACAGAGTGTCCCGCAAGAGTGTCCTACAAGAGTGTCCTTTGGACATATTAGTTTTTCGATCGTGTTTGCATTCGGGTTCGTGGGTTCCATCTTGTTTATATAATATCTCTTCAAAACAGGTCTCTTCAGGATGTTCTTGGGTGTGTGCCTTTCGAGTCAATTCTTTCGACTTCACAGAGGATTTACCTTGGGTTGAATCCCGGGCGCTCGAAGACGAGGAAAAGGGACGCAGTGCCACGAGTGCGCCGGGCGGCGTTGGCTGGGACGTGCTGCCTGGAAGAGTGGGAGTTCTACAGGCTACCAGCGGCTACCAACTTTCAGCAAAGGTTTGGGATTGGAAGTATGGGTTTGCAAACGTTTACAATCTACAATTTGTTTATGGATCTTGAGATCGTGGAGTGTTGGGGGAGGACTTGAAACTTGGAATTCCGGGACGTTGAAGCTCACAGGCCGGCCTAGTCCAGTTTCTGGACTGGGGGGGGAGTCCTAAGATATCCTAAGATCATTGGACCGAATCATTGTTCTGCCAAATGTGTGGGAAAGGAAGATGCTCTTGGTTGTGCACATTTCGCTTTTCATGGAGTCAAACATCAAACGAGCTTTCGTCCACCAGGGCTTCGTAGAAACTGAAAAAGAGAAGACATCTCTCCAACAGGACCTGTGGTCTTGTTGCTTGGTTTGCCCAACAAATTCCAACAGGTACAGAATGGACCAACAGCATTATGACCCCAAAAAAACCTGACTGACTAGGTGATGGTTTCGGATATTTCTATTTTCAAGCCTTACTTGGGGATGATTGGACCCTCTGACTCCTATTTTTCAAGTGGGTTGAAAACACCAACCAGCTGAGCTCAATTGGATACCTTTCTGGGTGGGTCATCGCACCTTTCTTGGTACCCTTTCAGCGGTTGGGTTGGAGGGATGGGTGTGTTGACAGTCTCGGGGTAGAGATCGCCAGTGCCGTGCCATGCACCCGGACGGAAGCTACAGCTAGGGTCACAAGAACCCTGTTCTCAATCCAATGCGGCTATATCAAGAATGTTGATCTTGATTCGCTGGGCATATCATGCATGTTTCATATCCTCTATGTATTACAATACTAGAGGAATCGGAATGTTTTTGTTTCCAAGGAAGAAGCTAGCTTCCTAGACATATGTCGCGTTCATGTGCTGCCTCAGAAAGGCTTACAGCAAGACAGGAAAGCTCCAGCATCAACTAGACTTTGAAACAAAGCATCGCGGACGAAGATTCCTCGTTTTGCGAAGCATCGCTTCAGCCGATATCGGTTTGGTCGCAGCTTCGCTTCAGACCTTGAGTCGTCAGTGGATATCGGCACCGAGTCCCATCACATCCTCCGTCCTTTTCGAGTCCGCCATGGGCGGCGCTGGGGGGGAAGATCTACCGGAGCGTCAGTCGGGTGCGGGGTCCGAAATGGATGGATTCCGGCGCTCGCTCCGAGGGGAATAGGTGACATGCTTTCTCAAAGCAAAGAACCCTGAAGCTGCCGTTGCACATCCCAGCTGGACCTAGTCTACCTTTGTTCAAGCGGAGACGTAGGGGCCCACCTAGATTTTGACTTAGTCATCAAGAAGACAAATTGTGTTGCCTACTGGGTTGTGCAACTGGGCAAGAAATACTCCTAAATCAGGCCAGACCTCGCAAGCAACGAAAGAATGATTTGAGGCTTTCCCGTCACAGATGCCAGACCCAGAGACCTTCTGATCACTCACTTGCCCTACAGGTCCCGCCTCCATGGCCTCCATGGTCCCAGTGAAACCTCAGTAAGAGTATTGCTTCCCTAGGGATCCAAGTAACTTCTCAGAACGTACTTGGACCCTCCTAACCTACACAACTTAACAGTGTCTCCAATCACCTTCTGAGCAGGTACTTGGATCCCTGGGGGTTGGTGTATGTTCAACTCCAGTGAGGTCAGTTCCTATTTCCTCAGGTCGACCTGACTGCTTCTGCGATCGAGGCGAAATCCGCGCGCGGGGCGTTTCGATCGGACGTGTCAACGCGTCGTGTTGAAACGCGGCGGCGGCACGTGGAGGGTTTGATCCCGTGCCATGTCACTCCCACTCACTAACATGGAAGTGGAAACCCTCTTTTCGTAAAGGAATTGAGTCTTCACTAATGACATGACGTCTTGGACACCGGTGGACACGACCCTTTCGTTGGGACCCACGTGTTGGCAACGGCCACGTGTTGGAAGCCAACCAGCTTCGTGGCTTCAAGGAGCGATAGCTCCTGAAAGAGAGTCGGAGATGTCAACGGGCTGCCCAAGGGGCACCCCTTAACGTTCCATGGGATCTCTTTTGCACTGCTGTTTGCGACCGTGATCCTGTTCAAAATCGGAGTAGAATGTGGGGATGTTGCCAAATGATTTTCTTGGGATCCCTTTGACCATCTTTGATCCAGGGCCATTTGGTCATTTGGGGTTCTTCATGTTTGGTCGAGAGCAGGCAGTGACTCTGGTGCCCTAGACGACAGAAGAATTGGACGAAAAAAGCGCTCGGGAAGGAACGTCCAGTGGGAACGCTCGGAGAGTCGTCGGACGCTTCGTTCGCCAGTCGTGACTTTTTTTTGACCGAAGACTCTGAGCTGCAGAACTCCACGGTTTTGGGGCAGCCAAGCCGTCCCGGTTTTGGGGGTTGGCAGCCGGTGCAGGAAGAGCAGCCAGTCCGCAGCTGGTATTTGCAGCGTGCGAAGCTGGATGGCAGCCTCATTGGCCAGGTGGGGCCGTTGACTGAGGCGTCGATGTGACTGAGGCGGTTGCCCTGGGAGATGGGCACACGTCCAACCCGTTAGATCCGCTCCCTTGGAGTCTCACTTGGTCGCCTGACACTCATAGTGTGTTTGTTGATATTTGAACCCCCCACAGACATTGATTGTAAAACCGTAAAACCTCTTCAGGCCTGCAGGTGTTGAAATATCATCGAGAGGCGACAGGAACACAAACAACGGAAGAACTTGGAGACTCTCAACCTTCCTGTCTAGGGTGGAGGCCATCGCCACTAGGGTGGAGGCCATCGCTATTATATAGGTTGGAGGCCGTCGCTACTAGTAGACCCGGTGGGTTTCTTCCATGAGATTGGGGCTCCGCGGGTGTTGCAATGATGGTGAGCTATATGCCTTCACCGTCGATCAGTCAAGCAGGACGATCCGGCCGCTGATTTCGAGGGTGAACAGTGATTGTTGGAAACCATCCGCATCCATATGCATCCTTCAGCTGTTTTGTTTGCTTCGGATGTTGGTGAATGATACAGATCATTTCTGGTCAATGGATTGATCCATGCAATCATGGAATATGTGCGTTACCTGTTGACCCTTAGATGGCTATACGAATGCGGGCAAATATTTCAGTCCCGGTCTGCGATTTCTTTGGGCAATGAGTCCTCGGCTCTTGCCCTCTTTCAGCACAATTCCTGTGATCGAATCACCAAGGGTAGCAGGTTTGTCTTACTGCCATATTTACCCAGCAGTTGGGGTGGTTGACCTGGGGATACCTATATATATATATATTACAATATTCCAGACATGCGGTGTCTGGGATGTCTTTTCCGATTGCAGATGCCTGCGATCCCTGAGGATTTGTCCAATTCGCTGTATCAAACACAATCGAATCTGGGAACCCAGGTCGTGTGTCATCAGTAGTCTTGGTTGGTATACTTGTCGAGCCGCTTCTAGATCAGTTGAGTTGCATGTTGCCCCGCAAGAATCTATGAAGCAGTTTGATCATCTGACCGCAAGTGTCCTGACCCCCCCAAAAATATCGCTTCGGTCACCGAGCTCTTTCGCCGTCGCCGTCGTCGCCTTTTTGGGGACCGGAAAAAGGACCCCGGGCCCACCGAGCTCTTTGGGCTCAAGAGAGTCTCCGACGAATCGGCTCCGCGCCATGGACGGCCTGACACCCAGGAGCGTCCGGTGAAGGCAAAGATCTCCGGCTGTCATACACGAATCGATACTGTAAGAAATCGATGTATATATAGATATCATAAGATATGATGCACATTTTGAGTAAGCAAGTAATATGTTGAAATAAAGGGAACAAGAATACAACACCACCACAGACTGACATGCCAGGATGGAATAGTATTCTATATATTCACAAAAAAATAGAGTCACCTACCCTGACAGCAATACATGCCCCAGGTATTCATCCAAATCCATAGACCCCCTTGGGTTGCCAAGGAAACCCTGAGTGTTCCTCTCCTCTCTGTCTCATTTGCCTATTATGTTGGGCTTTGTATCCAATACGTTGGGCTTCTTACGTCTCAGCAAGGAGCGGGAGCATTGAAAACCAAACACCAGCTCATTGGCTTAGACATGCTTAGACATGATATTAGACGATGAGCTTTGCGACATACGCCGCAATTTTTCTATCAGAACCTCTTGTTTTCATCTCCAGTTTGCTTCCCACATGCTACCATGCACATCCCACATCCCATGATGGATGACTGTACAGTCATGATGCATCACTTTTGAGCATAGATCTACACACTGACAAACACCTCACATGGAAGTGGATGCTTCCTTGGAAGACGATCTTCCTTTACGAACGGGCTTTTTCCCCTCCACTTCCATGCGATGTGTTCGTCGGAGTGTACAGATTCAGTGCTCAAAGTTCCCACAAGTTGAATGGAGCTCTTGCTATTATATCGCAACTACGCACACAACATTCTCGATTCACTGGCAACTATATATAGGCACTGAACAAAGTATATGTTGGCCCTTGTGCTTCAAAGGTCGCCACGGCAACCGATCAAAGACAACTGAAATTTGGAAAGTGCAAACCCTGTGTTTGTAATGGAAACCTATGGAAACTTCGCGTATTCTGGAGAACGCTGCGTAGTTCTGATGTTGGGTTCACCCTTCGTTGCCGTTTGCTGTACCATTCCTGCGAGCATCTGCGAGCATTGTGGTCCGCACGGCAGAGGGGTCAACATCATACCATGTCATACCTCCATGCTGTGTCAACTCTTGAAAGGACTGATAGAGCACTTGCCACAAGGTAACAAGCTTAGCTAATTGCTACACTTGTTGGTCGTTCTTCTGGGCTCTGAGCTTCCAGGAGAGGTCTTTGGGCCATCGACGAGGTCGAGGAGGTCGAGGCCAGAAATTCCACACGTCGCAGGGTTGGATGGATTTGGATGGCCCTCAAAACCCGGATGAAGCCCCTGAAATCCAAAGACCATGTTCAGGGTTGTTCAGGTGGTTTTCACTCCGATGATTTCACGATACTCCACGGAGTATCCCGCAATGGTGTGTTTGCATTTAATGGTTGGGAGGTGTTTTTTGGAATTGAGAACCTCAACTGGAGCCGACACTAAACGAAAGTTCGGGCGATTTGCACTGGCCAAGAAGGGTAGAGCTGGAAATCGCATCCTCAGAAACTCAACCTGTTCTTCTAGAAGAGGATGTTTTATGGTGTGGCCACAAGAGAACATGGCACAGGGATGCACAGGGCCAGTTTCTCGGTTCACGCCACTCCCCCAAAGTCAGCGGCGCCACCATTTGCATCACTCATTTGCCGATCGCTGTGAGGAGCAGGTACCCAAAGAGCACCCCGTTTCTCGCATGGTGGAGACCTGGACCTCTCAGCCCCATCTGAAGAAGATCGATCATGCGGTGAAGAAGCACCGACGATTCTTGGGACGATTCCGACGGGGCTTTTCAAATCCCCGATTTGTTTGATTTGCACAGAAAAGATTAATGGTATGTACAGACAAATCAGAAAAGCCGGAGGCCGTGGGCACCTCATGGTAGCTCGAGTGTTTTTTAGTGTTTTTGGCGACAGCTGTACTTACTGCATGTACTTATGATTACTCATGTATGACTGTATGACCTTGTTTTTCCCTTCAGCAGGGGCCTAGTGTGATGCTTTTGTTTCTGGACTTCACTTCACGAGAGGTTTCTTCTCATGCCGAGGAATGCTGATGATGAAGCGACGGAAATTGATGGATTTCCTCCTGACCAATGGATTTGAAGATGGGACGGTGAACAGCAAGAAGGTTACCTGGAAGATTTGCTCTACATATCCGTTACACGAGGCCGCTGCTAGGGTGGTCTCACCACCACAATCAGTCTCCATCCCAATGAGCAGCATACTCCATGTTCTGTGTTCCAATGGCGGAAGGGCTCGTGGCCCTGTTCTCTTACTTAATTAAGTGGGTGCCTAATTACGTAAGGACTAGAGTCCACGCTCCTAGCTGGACGCAGGATAGCTCACCCTTCTTCATCCGAAGGTTAGAGAAGCTGAATTCCAAACTTGTCCAGCCTCCAGAGTCCGAAACATGAAGCGAAGAATCCACTCCGACCCCGACCACTTCTGACTGCACCGCTTCAGGCCGTCAGGCAGAAGAACGTGGAGATCGTGGACTTGCTCCTGGCCTTCGGCGCCGACGTGCGACTCACGGACTGGCCTTCGGGCCGCACCGCCTACTCCTTGGCCAACCATGAAGTGCGAGAAGTCTTTGAAAGGACCGGCTGAGCCCACGGGGAGGCTTGCCCGGTCACCGCTAGGGGAGGAAGTGATGATAGAATTCAGTTGTATGCAAAGGGTAAAATCGAAAATCGGAGGAGGAGGAGGAGGAGATGATACATCATACATCTATATTGCAAATATGTGCAAATAATATATATATATATATACTCTATAGTTTGATACGAGATACTTCTAGAGATATATATATATATACATGTATTTATAGGGATGAAAATAACGACGCTCATGTTGGCATGAGCTTTACACACAAGTTGGTCCTGATGAAAAATCGGTGTCGGTGTGGCAGCAGGTGGCTCCCAACATACACAGAACATACACAGGTGGCTCTGTGAGACAGAACGCCAATTAGCAAACTGTCACCTGAAAGTAGCAATTCAATAGTTCTACTATGTTCTACTATAGCATCTGAAAGGCCAGATCTTCAACTTCGGGCTACGCGAACAGGTATCTCGATTGGCCGAACAGGGAACTCCGGCCTGCGGCTCGAAATCTGTTTCGGTTTTGGGGAAGCTCCAAATTTCAGACACCCGACCGCTGTGTGGTATTCATACAACTACCATGCCTTTTTGTTGCATTTGGTTACCACGCGGGTCACTGGGATAGAGGAATTCTTTCTTAATCTTACAGAATAACGATCCACAGCACGCTGAGCTGTGCATGCTGTTTCCACAGCCGCGCGCCTCCTTTCGCTCGCGGCCAGGAGGGGTTTGTCATTCTCGTCGCCCTACTTTCGTGCCGGCAGCAAGTTGCAGCGCTTCCCACCTCCACGAGGTTGGGAAGAGTTTTTTGCCAAGCTGGAGCAGGAGAGACTCAGAGAGACTCTGAGAGTCTAGCATTCAGAGTGCAAACCTGGAGTTGAAGAAAGGTGTTGATCCGATTCAGGTGTTGTTTTGATGTTTGTTCATTTATGTTCATGCGTATATATACATGTACGAGGGACCTCCATGTAAAGTATAACGTTATGAAGGTTGAAGTTATGTTTACTGTTTATAGCTTGGAAAAGACAATTCACACCCCCAAATATCTATATATATACATAATAATCCGTGTTGAATATTTTTTAAATACAATACTAAATATTTTAGACAATCAACAACCCAGGAACAGCAATAGACTCTGTTGTTTTTGATCAACTTCAGGTTCCTAGGTTGTCAGGTATTTGGACATTTCCAAAAATAGTAAGACAACATGTTTGTTTAAACTAAATTGTAGTTTCTTGTTTTTTGTGTTTTGTGGGCTACTAAAAAAGATAACAATTGTAAGACGACTAGATATTTAGTTTTTGTTTTGCGAGCTACTCAACAAAAACACTTGAAACTTTTTAAAGCAACTGAATACTTAATTTGTTGTGCTTGTTTTTGTTGTTTCGCTGGCACTAAAACCATAAAAACTAAACAGTCTTTAAAAACTGAATCCTTCGGGTGCCTAGGTTGTCAGGCATTTAGAAATTCCTAGTGTTTCTTCAGTAGACCGCAAAACTAAAACAACTAAATATTGTTGTTTTGTTGTTTTAGTTGTTTGGAAATTCAAAATACCTGGAATCCTAGGAACCTGAAGGATTTTTTCTATGTTTAGTCCATTTTTGTTATTGTTTACTAGCCGCAAAACTATAAAACAGAATCTAAATATATAGTTTTGTAGACTTAATGTGTTAAAGTCTTTTTTGGTAGTCCGCAAAACTAAAGAAACTTAATATGTAGGTTTTGTTGTAATTATGGCATCTTTGGTGTGTTTAGAATGTCTAAATACCTGGCAACCTAGGAACCTGAAGTTGATCAAAAACAACAGATTCTATTGCTGTTCCTCCTTGCCACCCCCCTTTGCAAGAATGAGACGTCACGAATTACTACTTTCCTACCGGTACCCCTCCCGAGTCATAAAAGAGGAAGCATGTTAGCATTTGGATGTTAGTTTTTTTTTCTCTTTCTTAATTCTTGTCCCTCAGTGCTTTTGCTGAAAGAATTGCAAACATAGTTCAAAGTGCAGTTATACTACTCTTCCTCGTCCCTTTGTCGAAGGCAAACGACAGGATGCTATCCCTATTCCTCCTTATTATTGCGCTTTCTTGGTGCAGAGGAGAGTTGTGAGGACGAAAAAGAAACATGTTCTTGAAGGAACGGGGGTGGGAAGTAGGAAGGGTAGATACAGGACGAAACAAATCCCGTGTCCTTTCTTACGGTGCAAACATGGGAGTAATGAGGATGGAGAGTACAATAGCACCCCCTGAGCTCTCCTGTCAGGGAAAACAAGTGAGCAAACTGGTACAGGACGGATAGCAACATCCTTCTTACTCTTCTTTGAAGGGAGAGAGCATGGTACTAGGAGTGTAACTGTTTCTCCAAAGAAGCAAGAGGAGGGGTAGCTCAAAAGCAAGTGTAGCTCAATGCAAGCAAGGTTGGCTGGGTGGGTGTGTCTTTTCTGTGTGGCTCGTGAGCTGGCATAGTGGCAACTCTCCTGGAGAAGCGAGAGGTCCATAGTAGCGATGCCAGGAGCCCCGAACGTAGCAATGCCCTTTGCTCCTAGTAGCTTCTTTGCTCCTAGAGCTGCAAAAAGACTGGGAGGACAAGAGGTCAGTCTTCTTCATTTTTTTTCGGAGCTGCAAGGAAGGATAGTAGGAACAAACGCGGTCCTCTTCTTCAAGAAGTGACATTGTAAATAAAGGTGAGTGAGACAGTGAGCAGCAGTAGTAGTAGTAGCAGCAGCAGCAGCAGCTTCCTATGTGCAAACCACTCGTTTGATGCTAACAATACGGACCTGTGTACAGATTTGTATCAATTTGATCACCTATCCATTGGTTGAGATAGCTCGGGCGCTAAAGTATTTTCCATGCGTTGCTTTGTCCTACGGGCCTCTAACTACACTGCTATATCGCGTCGCTGTCCTACCCTATCCTAATTCGTGATGCTTTATTCTTGCAAAAGGCGTGGCAAGGAGGAACAGCAAATAGAATCTCTTGTCTTTTATCAAACAGGGAATGTTGAGAATACAAGATACTGACAACCCTTCTTTTCTTTGAACAGCCTCCAGGGATAAGGACAGTTAAGAAAACTCTTTGTCCCTGTATTCAGGAAGAGGAGTTGTAAGGAGTGAGAGTGGTGGCTGTCCATTTTCTAATCAAGGAAAGTCGTAAGGTGTAAGCAAGAAACAATAGGAAGGCCAATGGAAAACGAGGAACACTCTTGACCCTTATTTAGACGCAATTTCTACGGGAGCGAAGCACTGCGCTGCCCGATTAGACAGCGCTACTGTACTTCACCTTTCTTAATTGCGTACCAAGTTTTTATATGCTGGAAAAAAGGGATCGCTATATGGCCCAGGTCCCCCCACATATACGTATAATTACATATAATATCAATATAATATATTATATACTATATATATTTTTTTGATGATAGGTAAAGGCCTTGTTGTGTGGCCTAAGCCGGCGACTTGGAGGTGGGACCTTCTAAATCCGCAAGATGAGGACAAAGGTATGGACCAGATCAGCCATGCATGCTAAGACCTGTCGATAGGTCCCCATGTTGGAGCACTTCCATGGCCTTCCAAGAACTTAGAACTCACGGGGAATCCATCTATTTCTTCAAAAGGTCCAAGCTAAGCAGTTGAAGGGGGCAAAGTCGGATGTCTCTTGTGAGAGACGATGGTCGACACCCAACAAGACTTAAGATGCCCAACAGGAATGGAACGACAAGACGTTCGCAACGTCACCCAACATGTGCGCCACCCATCGGGAGTTCTGTGCTTTGGTGGAAGACACTCCCACAAAGAACAACAATCCCCGCACGGGCGCTTCGCGTCCGTCGCGTCCGTCGCGACCTGCGCGTCTTCGCGACCTACGCAGGATCCCTTGACGCAGAAGTCAGGTGCCGAAACGGAGTGATTAAAGCGTCTTAGGCCCCATGGGCTTCAAAGGCCGGCTGAAAATGCCGCTGGTGCCAGGGGTCCCTGAGTTGCTGAAGATGTCGCGGCAGGCAGGGTGAACCTTCGAAAGGGTTTAATGATGTTTGGTGGTTAGAAGCTAATTTTGTAGCAGATCTCAGATTAGCAGCTGCAGATCTCAGATGTTGATGGCCCGGGAACGAAGGGATAGTGGATCGCTTCAGACCCTGCAACAAAATTCAGAGCATGCATTCTGCACTCCTTTGATGGATTTGTCCTCGGAATCTTGATCTACTTCATTCCACTGTGGGAGTAGAAACTCTCAAAGGAGCTGTTTCAATTCGACTTCTTGCCATATTGGAGTTCCTGTGGTCGACGACAAAATGTTGGGCCCACAGGATCCCATAGGCTGCGGCTGACGGCGATGAATTTGCACAAGATGCGGCAACACGCAATCGGGTTCAATGCACGATCTTGCACCTGCTTTAGGTCAGATCGTGGCAAGACTGCACCTGCGCTGAGCATTTTACCCCAGTTGCAAAGATTTTTGCACCTGCGGCACCAAAGCCGGCTTGAAGGTCGGGCTAGTTTCTTTGAACCTCGTGCGAACTCCCCCTGAAAGTCGGCAGATTTGCCATTTCCGGGGAGGTTTTGGCAACCGGTCGCTTGGAGAGTTTTGATCCGGAGATTGGTTGCATCGTGAAACCCGGCTAGCAAGAGTCCGTCGTGACCATTTAGAGCATGGCTTGCACACGTCCATGACTTAGGCAGTGGCAATTTTTGAGTCGAAATCGGACAGAGTGAAATCCACCACTGAATAAACTACAGAAGAATTCTTGCTGCAACCGTCATGTCGCTGCAAGGATATCCTTAGACCCCCAATTCTGGCATGGCTCTCGTGCCGGAGTCACAGAAGAGCGTGCTACACGGGGGAGGCCGGCCCAAGGTTTGTCAGCAAGGTGAGGTAGAATGGAGGAACTCAGGCAGAGATAAAACAGGTGTGAGAGGCTCAGGGTGAGAGTTGCAGAAGTGATCATGATTAGTAAGGCACCTTGCTACTAGTAGTAATGCCAGGAGCTACTAGTAGCTTCTTGTTGCTACTAGGATTGCAGGTAGATGTTCGCAACCACGTGGCATTTGTACGGTCGCACATTTCTGCAAACAGGTCGGGTTTGTTGAACCGGAGGGGTAAGGATTAAACAGGTCGTGTGCAGGAACCATTTGTTTGAATGGGTGCATCCAAATCTCAAGATATGAATCTGATGATCACCAACACTTGATCAACCTCGACAAAACCTTTAGACTATGTTAGACACAAAGCTTTAGAATATACTTGATCTGGAGATTTGGGCATGAATATATTGATCGCGCACGATCCAATGCCACCCGCATAGCCCCCACTGATCCATCGCGCACAGTCCAACGCTGAGAAAATCCGCTCCCCCGCTGCAGAGTGGAGAACAAGGAGCCACATTGTTTGGAACTGTTGGGGAAACAACTGCAGAACAAGGAGTATGCACAATGCACTGCGATTGCAGAAAGCGATCATTGACAAAGGCAAAGGTAACGAGTGTGTAGTATGTATATATATATATACACAATGCAAGAGACAAACAACGCGCTAACCAAAATGGCGATGGTGCAAGAAAAGGTGCAAAAAAGCCTTTGCTTTGCTGTTCTTTGGCTTTCTTTGGCCTTGAGTCGCGCAGTCTTCTATTGCAGCGATCCTTTGACTGTTCTTTTGTTTGCTTTGCCTCTATTGTATCTATGAACACAAGGGTGTGGCCTGTGTCGGCCATGCAAGGGTTATGTGTCCAACCATGAGGCACCATGAAACAAACCACCTTTAATTAGCAGCATTTTCGGGGCGTTTTCGTTGAGATCTCAAGTCCCGCAGTTGTTTTGCATGTGTATGGCTTCTTACGACCTACACCTACTCGTCGTAGGTCTGGTCTTACTACTCGTGTGGATGTGCTGCCATGAGTTTCAAAAGTTGTGGTTGCTCTTTGTGCAATTCATCTGGCCTCAATGGTCAGCCTCAATTATCTCGGATTTGGGAGACGGATGCTTGATGGAGGCATCCGGACACGCAAGAATCCTGGTATTTGGTTTAAATCAGCTGATTTCCGGACAGCACTGTGGTCCGCTGGCCCAAAACGTTAGGCCGGTTTGATGTGTTTCCGCCATCTATGCTGCACTGAGTAGATCGAGTGAAGGATGATTTGTTAACGGTGTTGTTTTTTCATGTGTTCTTTTCAATTGTTTTTGTGGGCTGCCTGGGAATCACTCATGGGCAAAGAGGTACTCGCAGCGGGTACAACAACCTTTCCCATTCGCGTTCGCTGCAACTGTCGCGGCTTGAGCGCTGCATGCATCCACTGCCTTGAAATCCAATGCATCACAGTCTGTGGTTTGTTTGTGCGACTTCCTGCTTCAGGATCATGAAAGAATAAGCTCAACTGGTTGCAGGATCATGAGGTCCAGTGGATTCAACCATAATTAGAAGGGAGTCTGACGGGTCCTTTACTCCTGGTGGTGTGCTGCATTTGCGGCCTGCACCAGATCTTTTGAGCGTGGCAACCGGTTGCTTGGAGAGTTTTGATCTGGAGATCCTGGTTGCATCTCTCGTTTGTAAAAGCCCGACCGTGGCATGGTTTGACACATCCATGGCGTCAAGTGCATGCCATTCATATGGTATATATGAGCAACCACTGTTATTTAGGCTTTACTATAGAGTAGTCTACGGCATTATTTTTTTTTCTTGTCTATCATCAGTATTCGCTTGTGAACGAGATAGGGCCCCCCACATAAACAAGATGCTTTTGCTTGATGACACTGGACACTAAAGTAGTCTGAACGAGATAGTGTGATCTGCTACTAAAGTAGTCTGAACGAGATAGGGCCCCCACAAAATAGATAGTGTAATTGTGTGTAATTGAGTTTAGTACCAAATAAATTCCGCTGCATATATATATAAGCATATAATATAGCAAATAGCTACTAGTAACAAGTGCATTTCTACTAGTAGCATCATAAAATCGTCGAGTCAGCCGGAGTGCACTCATACCACCTTCACGAACTTTATCTCGAGAGATCACTTACTGCAGGTCTATGAGTCTATCGCGCTTAGGCTGCATCGACATTGTTGCAAGGCAACTTTTGTTGGGGTATACTCTTAGATACTGAGGCCCTTACCTCAATTAATCAGAGTTGTCAGTTTGGCCAAATTGATCTAAATTGTGTTGTGGCATTGACTGGCTGATTTGAGCCTATGACGAGGCACCCTCGGAGCTGCATTCTCTTTGTTGTGAAAGCACAGACGTAGAATATCGTATGTCGTGCCAGTTTGTCGCACTTGGTATGTCTCATGGAAGTGGCGCCATAGTTTGAAATGAAATAATGACTCATCTATTTGTGACTGCTCTTTGTGCAGTTCATTTGGCTTGGCGTTTGCCAGATGGAATTGTCGCGTGTGGAATGCATAATATTGCATCCATGAGCTTCAGTCCGAATATATACTGTAATTTGTTTCAATTCACTCAATTTTGCGGCTCACCCGTGGCTTGGATCCTCTGGTCTTGCAGGAGAAGATGACGAATCAGACGTGTGTGGTGTATGTCTAGACCGTTCTTTTGGGCTACCGGGAAAGATGGAGCCTCACTGCGATGTGTCTCGGGTTGTGCCGGCTTTGCAACAAACACTCCTCACACGGTGCTTGAGGGCTGGCCAAGTACCCTACAGGTCAGGAATTCACAAACAAAAATTGACTGGAGTTGGTGGTACAAAAACACCATATAACACCATGAAATTCTTGCTGATGGCCGCACCAGGGCCACGGACCTGGATCAGAACTGGACCTGTAGGGGAACTGAATTTTGAGGGGTCACTGCAGGCCAATGAGCGGACCGGTCGGCGTTTGCAAAGGTCCAGACACCGCGCCAGCTCACCGAAACCCCTGCGGGTCGGTCCACCAGCGCCTAGCGCTCCACACCCTGTGGAGACATGCTGGTTTCAGTGCAGAGACACCAGTGGAAGAGGAGAAGGGATGAAAAGGGGATGGGGACGGCATAGCCAGCTGATCGGTGTTTGCAACGCCCGTCAGGGTCGAAGACATGAGAAGGCGACTGAAACGCGTATCCGACTGAAACGATGCCTGTTGAAAGGGTATTCGCTTGTCGACCTATTTTGCATTAGATGGAAGATTGCATGTCTTGGCACAGAACACACAAAGAATGAATGTCAGGAAGGATATGATGTATAGTGTATACAGTGTATAACGGCATGATAAAGCATGATTGATGTGACATACTTTGCCATTCCTTCCAAGCGGGTTGATGTTCGCTCGGCTGTGATTTAGATGCTGCGCACAAGCTGTATTATTGGGTCTTTGTGTCACAGGGTAGTATATGTCATGTTGCTTGTGTGAGGGCAGCGCGTCCTAGAAGCTTCGTCTGATGTTTTCTTGGCAGCGCTTGAGAAGCTGTTGTGAAAAGGCTTGCCAGCTACAACCAGGCCTTAAGTCCAGGTTTACAAAAAAACACCGCCACATCGCACAACTGCGACAAGGTTCCTAATTACCCAACTGCGACCCTGGACGTCTCGCGCAAACAAACGGCACCAGCCCAGAGAAGAGCCCACGAACCGCCACCGGCCTCACCATGAGCTGCGTGGTGTGGTTGGCGCATCTCCCCAAATGGCCTCCGCGTTCGACTTCCATCCGTTGATTCCGGTGTTCGAAGTGCCACACGAACACCACGAACACCACCGGACCCTTCGACTTCGCCTTCTGAAGCCGTGCACGGAGCAAAGCCCATGGGCTCGGCCAGGTTCCGGAGATGCGGCGCCTCTACCGGGAACAACTGAAGACGGTCCAGCTGCCCCTGCCCCGCGCGGAGACCTCGGGTTCCAACGAACAGATGATCAGGAAGAGCGCGCGTCCGGTGGAGCGCCAGGTGAGATGTATAAGCCACAAGGTGCAAAAAGAACCACGTGCTTGAGAATCTTAGATACCTTTGATATCCTTTGATGTTCTTTGTGTGGATGGCATATTTCATCAGCTACCGGAGCTATTGGCCAGTAGATCTATGGGTTGCTTCGCAAAGTTCGCAGAGAGGCAGGGTCTCTTGGAGAGGCAGTGCACCACCGCACCCGGAGGCCGCCGTAGGTTGACCATGTCTGGTCCCTGGTAGTTTGTTCTGTTCATGTTCTGTGGGAAAAACCAGGGTTACCAGGTGCCATGACCCACAGCCATTTCCCCAAAATAGAGCCTTCGAGAGGAGGTTATGTTCATGATCTCAAGACCTTTTCCAGGCACCACAGGGCTTGGAGAGAAAAGAACACTCAGGCCTTCAGGAATTTGTCAGCTTCCAATGCCAACACAAGCCACCAGAGTTAGACCAGAATAGAGGTGTTGACACTGGGGGACTCCAGGATGTCTTGCTGCTGGATGTGTTTTTAAGGTATATCTCCACATGTAAAGTTTCCTGGAGAAATGAGTTGGTTGTCTAGTTGCTTCCTTGCCCAATGGCTTTGAGATGTGCTGCGACCGACTCCACGACATAGCATGAGAGTTGAATTCTGTGAATCGATCGCATTGCGGCGTGCTTGACCATTTGGTGACCTTGGTTCCAGTTTTCATGCACCACTTTCGAACGGAAAGCGCTGGGATCGAGTTGAGTGCTTTGAGGGTTGAAAGCGCGGAGACTAGTCAGGAGAGAGATGCAGTCCTTGCAATCTACAATTGAATAGTAGTACCTGTATATACCTGCATCATCAGGTTGGAATTCAGAGCACTTGACCAGTGAGTGCACCATAGTGCACCTTTCCGTCACCAGGTCAAGGACCCTACCAAGTGCGGTCATGGTATGAGCGTCCAAGACCCCAGCGAAGTGAACTCACGCTGGGCAGGAACTCAAACCGGAGCCCATTTGATGGAAGTCCTTTTGAGAATTCACTTGTTCCTAGTAGCGTCCTTGCTCCTAGGATCCCAAATTGCAATATTGTTTTTTAAGGTGGGAAAGGATTCATATTATGCAAGTTTCACCCAAGGCCCAAATCCTCGATGAATTGGGAGAAACGAGGGATTTCACCCACCGGATGTTGCAGAAGAAGTTGGAAACAGCACCTGCAATGGCAGCAGGATCCTTCAATGGAACCTGAACTGCCTTTGTGGCATTGATGGGCAGCACCCTCAGAGTGCCTCCGAGATCTTGAAGTTGGTGGCTCCTCGGAGAAAACGCGACGGAGAAGTCTCCGGGAATCGAGATGGACCCTTGTGTTTGGACGCCGGGTCAGGTGCTGATGTTTGATGTTGCGATTGCCGTGATCTGAAAGGACATAGTTTTTTAAACTTGAGATACCAAACCCTAGAGATACAAACCTAGCTCCTAGTAGTACGGCCAGGAGCCCCGTTCGTAGCGTCCGATCGCTCCTAGAGATACAAATCGAGGTCAGTGACCGGTCGCTGAGACGGACAGTCGGTTTGGAGTGATGGGGAGCGGGAGTGTTCTAATGGTTTTTCGTTCGCCATTCGTTCGCCAAAATGGACGGAGGAGAGGTGAAGAGAATGGCCGGTGTTTCCTTCCACTCGTCATGGCCTGTTCTTGTCGAATTCGTCCGACGATCTCCGATGTGTGCCAATTCGCAGCAAGGGTCTATGCTATACTCTTTGGAGGATCTTGCATCAATTGCGCGTACAGAATTGGACTCCCCAGGTTAACTCCCTCCTGGTTGGTGGGCCTTCCGTAGTCTTCCCAAAACAAAGAATGCATGATTTGTTTCCTGGAAGACCCATTTCGGAGTCCTTCTAGGTTGGAGGCCATCGCTAGTAGGTCGGAGGCCATCGCTCTTCGAAAGCGATGCCCTTGTGACTAGTAGCTTCTAGCTACTATAGTAGTAATGCCCTTGTTTTTTGTCAGGAACAGAGCACTGCTGATATTCTTCTCTTCCAAGAGGCGCGCTGAAGTGTTTCGAGACCGCTTTTTTCGATGGTCCCACGAGCGCTGTGCTTTTCGCGTGATCCAAGTGTTTCTGGTCCTTTAAATAGCCACTAGTAGCGTCTTGTTACTAGTAGCGATGCCAGGAGCTCCTAGTAGCTTCTTGTTACTAGCAGTAATGGCCCACCCTAGTAGCGATGGCCTCCAACCTAGAAGCGATCGCCTCCACCCTACTTTTTTGCTTTCTATAATCACCTTTTCCGTCCTTTTCCTTTTGCTCGTCTCTCTTGCCTTTTGCTGTTCGTTTTCTCTCTCTCCTTGTCTTTTCCTTTCGGGAATGGCTTTGGAGCTGCAACTATTGGACAAAAACTCTTCAATGTGCCTTTTTCTTCCTTGCCTTTTCTCTTTCTTGCTATGTTGTTCCTTCTACTTGTCTTTGCCCCTTTTCAATGTACTTTTAACTCTTTAATTCTTTTGTGTATCCTGTCCTTTCCATTTTTCTGGTCGTTTTCCTTTTCCCTCTTGTCCTTTTGTTGCTTTCCTTTTTCCCCTCTCTCGGAGCCACTATGCGGCGCAGAAGCAAAGAATTGAAAAGGAAGGTGCCTTGGGGCCTTCCGCGCTTTGGGGCCGTTCAACATCTCAAATTGCCATCCGCTACCATCTGTGCCAACACCCCAAGATCATTCCAAAACGGGTGGGGCAGTTCCACCACCGCTCGGTGCCACCGCCGAGAGACCGCTGTTTCAACGTCGACTGCCCCGGACAAAGAGAGAAGGAAGTCGGGTGCCTCATCGCGCCCGATGTGCCTGCTTGGTCACCTCCAAAAATGGCATCACCCTCCAAAAAATATGAACGAACTCTTGGACCAGATCTGGAGTTCTTCGATGTCCTGAGCGCCTATAGCATTCACACAGAACCCTGCAGGTCCGGGATCTATGTAAGGTAGCCGGGGAGCGGAGCCAAACGCCTTTTTCATGTCGGCGCAAGTATCAAGACTTGGAGTCACAAGCGGCTCCAGCGGCTCCCCACAATCGGGAGACCTCCCATTGCCTTCTTTTCCGACTCGCCTGGGTGACAATCCACATCAATCCACCAGTCTTTATATGTCTTTCTCACTTTCTGGAAGGCCCCTGCCGGCCCAGCACAGACCTGGTGGTATGAGCCTTGGCGAAGCAGCTTTCCCTTCCGCGAGATGCGACGCTTAGAGGATCAGCTGAGAAAGATGGGGCCACCTGGATTCTCCAGTGGCGTTCGCGACGAGTGCATGGCGCGAGACGAGGGAGGGCGTGGATTTTTCTCTCCCGGTCGGTGTGTTTGGCGAGAGAAGCCGACCAGCTTGTCCGGTTTGGGGAGAATCAAAGATCCGATCTGGAATGGACTCAGAAGATGTTGTGGTTTTGGGGACTGAACGTTTCTTCGTACGAATATAATATATTATAGTATATATATATATTCTATATATCATCTTTGATGTCACCCAGAAGAGCTCGAAGACAACTGTTGCATTGAGCCCCTCCTTGGCACCCTTCCAGACGTGGATGATACAACATGCAAGCCCTTGAAACCCTGAGGTGAAACCTTGCCCTTGGGATACAAGATGATACAACATTTGGTCAAAAAAAGACACTCAACATCAGCCCAATGCTGAAAAGACCGGGTCTGGAAGTTCCAAGCCCGACAGCAACAGGTTTCACTCCCCTTGCGCCACATGGCTGCTTCTCCTTGAGGTACACCACACAGCTTCGCAGCGAATGCTTCAGCCAGACCTTGCTGTGCTCCATATTCCGGGTTAGGGAGATGCAGCACCTCTCACTGGACATCGAGCTGCTTGGATCTGATTGCATCGTGTTTGCCGAAAGCCTTGACAATGTGTGTCAGCGAATCAAATCGACCTCGACCCTTGCCAGTTAGTGGCTTCTGGAGCGAAGAAGAACAGCTCCCTGAAAAAGCATGTGCACACGACCCTTTTCTCTGTAAGAATCACCCCAAGAGCATTGCACCTGGGCGGATGGATGAACAGATCCGAATCCTCGTGTCTTTTTCGGCCGTTACCGGGCCGTGCCGTGCCCCGGTCGAGGAGCTCGGTCTTGTTCCTGCACGGAATTGGAGTGCGACCTGGACGGTTTCTAGATGTTTCCCCAGTCCCAACATGTCACCACTTGTGATGTAAAGGATCTTTCTGGTGGCCGGAACACACATGTCTTTCTGGTTGGGACGGGGTTTCCAGGGGCGGTTCCACACACATCCAGGACGCGGTTGCCATGGGTTCCAACCAGTTGTTTCTGCTTGGGACGATCCCGCGTCACGACGGGGTTCGCACCACGCACGGTGGTTCATGCACGGCGTGGTTCACGGGGTGCCAAGGTGACAACATCCGGTGTTATACCAAAAACATCAAAGAACAAATACCAAAGTACATATATATATATCCTAAGTGGTGCCTAATGTATATTATATATATATATATCGTTTGAAATGAAAACATGTCCCATGTCCTAACTCCTTCGTTTCGCCTTCGCCGAAGCCTAAGCCGTCGTCTCGTGAACCGTCCGCAGGCACTCCTTTCGTTACCAGATGGACGAGGAGCGAAACGCCCTCCACGCTGTGCTGCACTTCGGTGCCAAGGAGGACCAGAGCGACGACCACGCCGCACGGCGCACGTCCCGTGCGGTGAGCAGGGGGGGGTGAAAGGGATTGAGATGGCGAGGGATTGCTGACGTGGCGAGTGGCGAGAGGAGTGGGGAAAGGGTTCCAACTAGAGATTGGAGAATTAGGGTTTAATTCCGGGCAAGGAGCCTGAGAAACGGCTACCATCTGTGAGCAACTGTGAGCTGCTTTCATCGTGGAGTCATTTTGAGTTGAGAATGATGTGCGAAATCCTGACGTCACCCTGAGATCCAGGGTCCTCTGGGTCCCCAACCGAAACGACGACCCCCCGTTTCGGACGCGCTGCACAAACCCTGTCCAATAGGAGGCCCTCTGTTTCGATTAGATCGATCTCCAGCTTTGTTGGGAAGCTGGGAGAGTTCGCCTGCCAAGAGTATTTGATCTCCGGACTAATATGACACAATAGGACTTAGCTAGGTCTCTGATTCTGTTAAAATGGATGTTTTGTGTGTGATGCTTGAGTGACTGTCCGGGACTGGGTTTGTTTCCGTGTTTTTGCACGCCGTTCTACTCCAAACTATGTATCTGAAGGCTTGCTCAAGGGCTGATATTCTTAAGGCTTACTCAAGGCTGCAGTCGAATTCAGCCCATCCTCTTCGCCAATTCCCCATCCTCTTCATCTTCCACCTGACGGCCAAGATCATCAGCGTGTACGCTACCCATTTTCACCATGAGGAGCTGTGGGGGAAGCCGAAGCGACTTGGGTTCTACATCGCATATGCGTGGGAATTCCAGCTTCACATACCAAATAGCCTCCAAACTTTTAAACGTTTGATTTGTAACTTCCAAATAGATCCAACAGTGAATCCTCTAAACAGAAAACTGATGAAAAGTGTATAGAATTGTAATGGTCGATGACCTTTCTTTGTGAAGACATTCATTTACATTTCATCAATAGGACAGGTGAATCCTTCTGATGTTCATCAAACCAATAAGTTCTTAGTGAGACATGGTGAGACCTTTTGGGAAGAGAAAAGACATCTCCAGTTCACCCTGGTCCCTCCGCCCGATGTTCACACGCCCCACTTGCGCCCGCTCGCCAGAACTTCACGCTGGATGCCCAGGGGGTCCGCCGCAGCGAAGCTTCGGTGTTGCTGAAGCACGCGGAACATGCCAAGGGACCCGTGGCGCGGCCGCAGTGTGGCGCAGATGACCGGTTCCGTGACCGTTCCCGCCTACGCTTCGAGGTCGGCCCCGAACATCCGCACAGAGGGGGGGGCGGGGGTCGAATCCGAACTCTGTCAGGGGTCGGGGGTGGGCACCAATCCCGGTTTTCAGGGACCTGTCGGGCTGGGAACTCACGGAGCGTTTGGGTATGGTCTTTCTTTTCCGGGGTCGTTGGGGGGGGTCGGTTCAACCGGGATCACCGTTTCCGAGATCGAAGTCGAATGTCTTGTTTCGTGTCTCCGATGGCAATGTGACGATTCGGTTTTTTGGCCGCGCCCAGTGGATCTGTCCCCTGTTTGCACAGAAACACCGTGGATTGGATGGGCCACATCGTCTTGCCAAGGTGCTTGTGGCTTCTGACTTCAATCAGGTGTGGACGCTTTCCCACCTCTTCAGTCGGTCGAGAAAAGAACGGGCCTTATTTTTTGGGGGGGGAGGTTGTTGGAGTGGCGACTGGATCCTTTTTGGTCAGATGATTGGTGATGATCGGAACATTTGTGTCTTTTTGTTCATCCCTGTCATGAAACACATCATCCCTAGCGCAAAACGCTTCTTTCGAACCCTTTTTCGGCCGTATGGGACTGAATCACCAACGGCTCAAACGGCCAATTCGATCATTTCATGTGCGGACTTCGGTACCAGCCGGGCCCAGAGGGCCCCAGAGGGCCTGGACTCTCATTTCGATTGCCCAATTCATGCCACGACCGACCGGAGAGGCCCGGACCTCGACCGCCCGGTAAGCGGTTCCGTCGCACCGGGGCCGCTTGGTGACCCGGGATTTTTGGGACCTCGACTCAGTCTGACGAGGGTGTTCTGGAAGAGCTGGGCCATGCCATTGGGGAAAGAAGTAGGGCAGGTAGATGGTTTGGTTCGTTTGGTGGATGCTCAAGCTGGACATGCTCAAGCTTTGGGAAATCATCGCCCAACGTTGGCCAAACGGAAGGCGAAGGAAGAGAGCCGATTCGGCTTGGCCGCACCGGTCCTTTGACCACCGTCGGTAGCGTTTGGTCCAGGCTCGACGTCAAGACTACGATGAAGAAGAGTGGAAGGTCGTAGCTGCTGGTGGCCTCCTTAGCGCAGTTTTGCTTCCTCCTTTGGGATTGCCAATGGCATCCAATGGCCAAAGCGCACAGCGTGTCGGTCGGAGTCTTTCTGTAAAGTTCTGAGGACTTGGATTTATGTGTTGGTCGTATATATAATACTGGTAATACAAGATAAACATATATAATCTAATAGACCATTCTTGTTGAAACCAAGTGTCCTCCTAAAAGGAACTAGATGTCCCAATTCTATGATGTTTTTGTATGATGCTGTACGACACCATGATCATTCCCCAGTTTCACGAGGTTTGGCCTCCGTGAAGCAGCCGGAGGACGACGGGGTACACCAGCTTTTCACCGAGCACAACTTCCGCTGTGCCCAAAGACGCAAGTCGGTGCTCAAAAGTCGGGGTCTAGATAAATGTGTGGGAATGTGTGAGTTTAAAGATTAAACAAACTAATTTTTGAGCTCAGTCAAAGTCAAAGATGACTTTTTGAAGCACCAAAGCAATTGAGAACAGATTTCTATCGCTGTACTGGAGTTGTGATAGGCGCAGTGATCGCTGAGCCGCGTGCGACAGAAACGTCACTTGCGCACCTGGTAGTGACTCACTGATGCACATGAGCTAGAGTCAAAATCAATGAAAGTGACGATTAAGCAGTTTGTGAGTGGCATGGGAATGTCATCGGGATCTTAAATGCATGCTTTGCTCAAAAGACAACACGCGCGACAAGGTGATGAACATGAAGAAACAGCTGAGAAACACTTATCAATTCTTGATTGCCGTCAGCCATGGCCTATTCAAGTATTGTCGTTTGACCGTCCCAGATACAAGCTCACTGTACATACCCGACGATGTCTTATAGGGGATCTGAAACCACCTATTTACTTGCCTGCCTTGGTCGCTTGGCGCTTGGCGCTTCACATCTTGGCGCTTCGCGTTGCTTCGTTTCCGCGCTGTTCCGATGGAGCAATGCTAATTGCTCATGTCTGGCTTGTTTTTTCTTCGGTATCCCGAAGACGAGGGATGACATTGCTTGCTGGTAAACAAGTTTCTTTGCTTTGCCTTGTGCCAGCCACGCATGCTTGTACCTGTTGGCGTGTTCAAGCGAATAGCGTGCCAAGTGAAAAATCCCGTTGAAGTGAATACTTGTTTCGATGTGTTTTTTGCTGCCCTTTGCACTTTTCAGGTCCTGTTTGTGTTTGGCTTCAATTGGTTTGAGTTTTTGGGTCGTCACAGCGTACTGGGCGGAAAAAAGCTAGACTTCAGCAGCTTTGGGGGCCGTCTTTGCTGATGTCTGATGCATTTGTATCTGATAACATATATATATATATATATGGTGTGTTTCCCTAGGATTCCAGCCACCAGCTAGAGATACTACGACTACAACACCGGGTCAAGCTGCCTCTTAATGGCCTTGGAAGGGTAGTGCGGTAGTATTGATACCATCTGTTGCTGTGAACTTTCTGTTGATGCATTCCTTGTAAGTCGCCGGCGTTGTTCTCCCTTCATTCTAGGCTAGAATGAACATCATACCTCGCACAGGCAAGAATTGTCGTTTTGGCTTGTCTCTTGAAGCAATGTTTCCTGTCCTCCACAAAAGAAATAGACACACTGAAGACATTGCATAGATTTATTGGATCCCTCTTCTTAACTCGTCCTTGTTGTTTTTGGGATTGTCATACCTGGCACACTGTAGTTGGGTGTTGATCCTTTGAGATCCGTCACACTTCTCGTACCGCCCGTCGAATTTGGGGGGTCGAACCCGGAGCTAGCGCTTCGAACCCAGACCCAGGTGCCTACGACGTGGCGCGCCAGCGCAACTGGCCCATCAGCAAGGCACCGCCTTTTACCCACTGGACCGGCACCACCGTAGATTATCCCTACGTACGCTCCAGCGCCAAGCGGAGGCTTCGGAGGAATGGCGAAGGATCCTTTGGGTGGGCGCAGGCAGGCGGCCGCAGGCCATCAAAACCAAAGCAGGCAGGACATGTATAAAGAAGGCCTTCATGTCTTGAGATGGGCTGCAAGAAACATGGAAGTGGATGGCATATGATGGCGTGGCCCCTGGAAAGACCAATATCATGCTCTACAAACAAAGGGTGTTCACGTGATCATGACGCATGGAAAGGGCAGAAAAACTGGGCCGGGCCGAGTAGTGTTATCGCTCACTTGTAGGCAAGCTTGATGCCTTTGAGGTAGAACTCATTGGGGATCTTACCATTCCGCTAAACACAAGCACTTGCGCGAACAGGAAACAAAGAGGCATACCAAATCAAAAGCCCTTTTAATGGCTTTCGTTGGGCTCTCCTTAAGCCATCTCTTGACGCTTCGGAGAACCTCCAGCCCCCCCCCAGTTTAGCCGTCCTCGTCGACTCCATGTCTGAGGACTGTGGATGTGGATGGGGTCTACTTGCTGAGCAGTAGTGTCTCGGATCACCTGCCCATCGTCACGGACATCACACTCGCCCCACGAAAAACCACTCTGAACAGCTGACGTCGCTTCGTTCGCTTCCTTCCCAACGGACGAGACCACGACGGTACCAACCGAGGCGAGGCCCTTCAGGGCGGAAGGGCGGTGGGTTGGGATGCGTTCGACATCGGTCAGCAGAACGGTGTTGCGGGGGGACACCAAGTAGGACGACAGACCAGAATGACACCCCCTGTTGATCTGGTACTTCCTGAAACTGAGGTTGCGGAAGCAACCGTCGTGGGCCTCGACCCAGTCTATCGAGTCTATCTTGGATGCCATGAAACCCATGGACAATGCATCAATATGACGTGTGTTCCTTTCATGGTTGTCAGCAAGCTCGGAAGAACAACGAGTGACCTACTCAATGTTGCCATCTTTCTTCTCCACGCATTTGTCTTATTTTGTCTTAACATGTTCCCCATGTTCACCCGGAATGGATCGGAGAGGATTCCAGCCCCGGAACGTGTCTTCCCACTAGACGCGAGACGACTGGGTTTGGGGGTGCCATGACTTGGTTCTGTGAAAAGCATCGCTGTGGCCAACAAGGGTAAACGTGTGTGCCAACAAGGTCGTCATGCACAACATCGTTGTGGGAAAACGTTGTGTTTGTGTCAAGACATTGTTTTCGAGATGCTATTCTCATGTAGGTTTGCTATGTTTGCTTTAGATGTCCTAATATGTCGTGATGTGCTAGATTTGCCTGAGTGGGCAGGCCTATTTTTGCAGAAAGACGTTTGCCTCTTTAGGATGTCTTTGCACATGGTGTGTGGCAACGGCTGCTGCGTAGTCATGGTGTGTGGCACATGTCTGTGAGCTCTCGGCGTTTGCCCTGAAAAAGCATACTGTATGGCGGTGGTTGGAGAAATCTGCTCAAATCTCAGCGATTTCAGGTGGACCTGGACGCCAAAGTGATGAGTTCTGCGCCAGCGACCATGAAGGCTTCGTTTGCTGTGGGCGAAAAAGGAGAAGGTCCTCCATTCATCTCCATCGGTGTTTGGATGTGTTTGGTGTTTTTTGGGTTCAAGAGCTGTTCCAGCTCATATATTCAGTGAGGGGGCTGCGACAAATATATTTACTGTACTCCTTAAAGGTGGATTTGTTTCAAAACTCGGCACAATTTCACGGGCTATGTCACGGGCCACGAAATGTGCTCTTCATGCTCAACGGGAGGTGTCCAGATAGATTCTAGTAAAGCTTAGTTGCCCAGCTGGAGGTACAGCAGGGTTTCAATCAGTTGGAGATCAAGCAAGTGAGTGACAGGCTTAAACAAGAGGAGAGCCAAAGAATTTGAGGAGGCTGTTGAGTAGGAGCCACTTGCTAAGCAAAAGGAACCTCATTAGTGAAGAACGCCGACAAAGAGGAATTTGTAGGTTCTTAGAGGCCAAGAATAAACGGTCAAGAGCGGTTTTCACGCTCAGCCGAGATTGAAAGAAGGGCAAAAAAGTTCAATCATTCTCGGGTAGACTCGATCAACTGTTCAGTTTCACTTGCGATCATCAATTCCGCCAGGCTGCTACTACCCCAAGGAAGGACCCCCTGCTGTTGCAACAAGCTAAACGTTGTTGCGAAGCCGTTTCAGGCTCGAGAAGACCAAAGCCGACAGCCTTCAGCTCCAGACATCCGATCTCCCAGATCGATTCGAGACACCAACCGCCATGGACCAGAATGAAGAAGACACCAACCGCCATGCAGAAAAGAGTCTAGCTGCTAGTCTTTTGTAAAGGTAATTACTTTCTTACACACCTTCCAACAAGAACTGCACACTTTCTGAGAGACCTCCTGGCTACTGGAAACCAATAGAAGCATGTTTACTGTTTACTCTAGATTCTAGATGTTTTTCTTGGCTCATCCCGCATTGAAGCGTTGAGCAAATAGAGATCCTGAAGATCAAACACTACTACATGGTGTTGCATTGCAATTTCAAAATGAGCGACCTCATCTCATTGCCATTGCTTGGTTCGATCGGAAGGATCACAGGGAATCTTGATAGTCTATGGAAGCATAAAAAGCTGTGGAAATCCCAGGCTTGTATCGACCCGGCCGAAGGTCTTCACACCACCAACGCGCGGGCCATTAAGCAGCTCCCGCGATCGTCTCAGATCGATTCAGATGAGAGGCCTTTAAACAACAGCACAGACATCCTACCCACTTTGAACCAAGACAGTCTGACTGGGCATGTTCCCTACCTCGGTGGTGAAGGATGTCCGAACCACACCTTGGTGGCCGGAAGTTTTTTCAGCAAACCGTTCCGTCGCATTCCCAAGCGTTCCCTGCGATGGCTGCACGACAGTGTTGAGATGATGCTGGAACTCTATCCGCTTCACCGAGCGGCGATGCAGTTATGCAGTACTGCATCAAAAAGCCCAGCTTCTGCAGGAGATGAGGGGCCGTATTGGTGGACACAGTGAAGCTATGACTGCCAGCCATGCTTGTTGATGGATTGTTTGGCAGACATTGCAGATTCTTCTTACCCTGATCTACCTTGGCTATAGTTTTGTTGTTCTTTTAACTTGTATTGGTGTTGTGACCAAAATAGATCAACGAGTGGAAACCCAGGTTCGCTCCACGCCGGACTCCACTAGTGTTTCCATTCATTCCAAGATCCAAACATCAGATGTTGACTATTCATCACATAATCTCCAGGTGATACACAGTTGTTTCATGTTGTTTCTTCCTATTTGTCCTTGAAAACCCTACATCGATCTCGCGCACCTTCGCAACTTCTGCTCCCTCTCCAATTGTGGGTGGGCGACCGCCTTCGCCGTTTGAGAACATCGCGAACCACACTTTTGCAGGAGGTTTGGATAGCCACTCAGAAGTTCTTTGATTTTCAGGACCGGTGTGTTTTTTGGCCCAGCCACCTCGTGCAATTGGTCTTTGTGTACGAGAAACGAACGATTGGATGATCTACTTGAAGGGTTGTTCTTTGAGAGCTGGCAAGTTGGGTGATTCCAGTCGATTGGTCTGAGAGAGCTACACAGTCCAAGGGGCGCTCCGCAAGGACGCACCATCTCCTTGAGGCTGACAATGCAGTTTGCCAGGTGGCGATGGCCGTCCAAACGAGCAAACTGGAGTCACAAGAAGTCAACAGTTGCGACATGTTTAAGGCCAAGAAATCACTGCAGCGGTCGAGTCATTTCTTCTGTTTTTCCTTTGCTCTCAAAGTGCACAGGGCCACCAGTTCAGGTGGAGGGAGAATCTTGAAATCCATCATCAACATCATGACTATCATCATCAGATCATTTCCATGCGTCATTATTCACTACAACTAGGAATACTAGGAATAGATCGGACTGAGAGCCATGCGAACCGCAGTATTGTGCCTTCTGCTGGTGTCCGCCCTCTATGAACCGTTGCGCAACTCCCTCTGGCGCGTTCTGGAAGTGGGCGGTGTAGGAGGTGTGGGTGGCCTATGCAACTTAGGTAATCCTGGCACTTGCAGCAGCCTTGCGGGGCGCACGCAAAACTACTGCTTCATTCCAGGGATTGTCGCTGGCTTCACGAGCATGGCCATTTTGGTTCTGAGCCATGGCCAACGAACGGAGGGGTTTCAGGAAGTTGCTCCAAGTGTCGTGCAGAAACAGCGCGACAACAGCTTCGAGGGGGGTTCTCTTCAAGCACGAAGCTTTGCCCAGCAACAGGAATCGCAACTAAGCCGGAGATTCCTGTTGCATAGTGGTGCTGATGGAAATCACTATTTCTTCAATTTTTCCCAACTGATTTGGAAGGGATGAGGGATAGTTTCAGTATCGAAGCAACAGATGTGCTTTGGAGGAATTCACTTTGTCTTCCTTTGGCTTTCTAGTTGACAAGTGACTAGGGTCTGAAGCCGTTCCCAAGCAGATCTCTACAGCATTGAGTTTCAGATAGTGTTGTCAGCTTTAATGGGATCTCACGTTTCATTCACTGCCTGACCACAAATCAAACGATATGACTCACATGAGACTCACATGCCTAAAATGAATGAAGTAGAACTGGAGTACATCCCACATCTCCTTGAGCGGTAAATGGCAGAAGTGAAGCCAGACATAGAAAAAATAGCTGTGGCACGCTGGTTTCGCGGTTTCGCGGCACAACTGGTCAGGATCCTATGGACATTGCCCATGTTTCTGGGAGGAGTACGCATGGCTGCCACCAAAACTGCAAGCGAAGAGATGGAGCCCCAGGACGAAGGGGACGAAATGACTCAGGTGACCCTTCGTTGTGGAACCGATGGCTTTACCATGTTGTGGAACGGCTTGTCAGCCTTGTGGTTTGTGGTGCCTTTGGCCTACTTCCTTGCAGATCCCTTCTTCCATCAGGGCATCTTGAACATCATTTTGGGCGTGGCGGTGGCAGCTGCATTTCCACTCAGCTGGCATTTATCGTTTGTTGCTTTGCCATTGAGCAGCCCTTTGATGCTGGGATTGAAATTGTCTCGGCCATCCCTGATGGCAATTCACAAATTCCTCGGCTTCAGGAGTGCTTTCTGGGGTGCCTTGCACGTCACTGGCGAAATTATGTGGTTGGCCCGAAGCGGGTTTGAAAACCTGTCTCTCAGTGACGCAAAAGGAGAAAACCTGCTCTACATCCTTGGGCTTGCAGCCGCCGGCATCTTCCTGACTCATGTGCTGGTGGCGCTGGCGAGGCGTCAATCTTGGCTACGTCCATATTTCAAAGAGACCCACCGAGTCATTGCAGTTTTGCTGTTGATCACGGCTACAGCTCATTGGTGGCCCTTCGCATTCTTCTTACTTCCAGCTGCTGCGGCTTATGGAGCATCCACAGCTGAAAGAGTTGCGTGGGGTGCTGAAGGCCTTGGGATTGGTTATCGAATACGAAAGAATTTCAGTGTCTGAATTTCTCAGTTTTGGAGATCTTCATGGATGACCCCGATATCAGCGTAATACCACGGTGATCACATGAAGGATTTCATGGGCAACATACCCAACAGGTAGTCATGTTAGGAGACCTTGGTCCGAGCCATCACCAGGCGGCCAGCAGCGCATGGGTGCGGCTCTCGCATCTGCAGTGATGGGTGGCCTTTTGGGTTTGATCGTGGTGTGGGTTTTCCGGCAGGAATACATGCAGCGTCCTTCTGCCGGTGCCTTGGAAGAGAAGACATGGTAAGAGTGATAGAGGGCACCGAACGGTGGAGATTGGGAACAAGGATCGAGAATGATATTCGGACATTACCTTATGTAAGTACCCTGCTTGTTATGAAAACATATTGCAAAGTTGTTTGTGACAAATATATATCTTAAGATGAGAGACACCTTGGCAGTAGCTTTCATCGAATGATAAACTCTTCTTTGCTGCCCAGCAAAGAAACTTCTACACACTGACGTCTTGTATTTGCGTAAACGGTGACATTGCATTATTTCCAGGAGGATCACCGGATAGCAGTTATATCTCAGATTATCTCAGTATATCTCAGTATATCAGTTTCTACTAAGATTATACCAAAGTTGCACGTTGAACCATGTTGATATGCATTCATTGTTATGTGGTTTGTTTACCTTCAACTCATTGCCTTTCAGATATAATCATATAACACCTCAAAGTGTCAACCTTTTGATCTTGAACTCCATCTGTGTTGCAATTTTTGCGTGGGTAAACATGATATCGGTGGCTGAGGTTTGATGATTCCATTTCTTTTCCCACCAGCTGCTCTCGTGGCCGAATTCCTTGGTGCGTTGGGAGCTGCCTCATTGACCCTGGTGTTTTTTTCCTCGACCTCAGGGTCTTCTGACAGACTGCTAGCGTCTAGGAACTGTTTGTGTTTTGTTTCTTTTCCGGAGCTGGTAGGGAGCTAGGAGCTGCCAATCAGCTGTATAGAGATGTGAGGTGCGAACCATTTTTGATACTATGGATGCTGACGTCCAGCTGTGGGGTGACAATTCGCCTTCTTTGGAACTGGTATAGAACACCTTTGGGCACCCTTGTCCAAACCAAACTGTCCTTTCAAGTCGTTTGGACTTGTGACAAATGCTGTGTCCGAGATCTCGCGGTTCGAGCGCCGGGTTGCTCCACTCAGACTCAGAGACCATGCTGAGCATTGTCACGACATCGCCATTCGATCTCCTTTTGTTGCATCGAGGTGTGCGCAAGTCACTCAGAGTCACTGAAATTTGGTTTGCAAAGTCGGTTCGTTTCCCAGTCACGGCAAAGGAGCTGAAAGTCATGGCAACTGGAACCTGGCGCACAAGCCAAGATCCAATGAGCCGAGTAGGCAGGGCTGAGTGCAGGGCATATCATATGGAAGTGATGCACTGAATGGACGGTAGCACTATGTAGCACTGATATAGAATCTAGAGGTATCTGATGGTATCGCAGGTATTTTTATGCAACCATTCAGTTGATGGGAAGTTTTGGAAGTCCAGCAATACTGCATGGATATCCTCGTGTTGCAGTGCCATAAGGTTGGAAAGTCCGATAGTTTAATCTGACATCTATGTGCATCCACCTATCAATGTGGCTGCACAGGCATGCACTTTTTGTTCCCTAGATAGCGTCCGGGGGGTGAGTGTTGTTTTGGCCGCCGCCGGCCACTGGTCGCTGCCGCACGCCATCTCCCATGTCTCCTTCGTCAATTTGTTTGTCTCCCTGTTTGTCTCCATATATATATATATTATCTATATACTGGTAATTGAAAAAAGGCTGAGGGAGCAGTGCCAAAACTGAAAAACTATGGTTAAATCAGGTTTGACGATTTGTCAAGATTTGTGAGATGCATCCGAAGTGTTCGCACTGCTATCCCGGTTTAGCCCTTGAAGCTGGAGAGGTCCATGTCCTGGGATGTGCGAGCATGTGAAACCCAAGTTATCCAGAATGGCTCAATGATCACTTCGTACTTTGAATTGGATGATGAGGGTCAACTACAGATGCCATTCTTCAAACCACTGACCTGTGTGCCTGCACCAGTCATTGCATGTTGATGCCAATCAATGAAGGATATATAATGAAGGTTGATGAGAAGGTGCCGACAACCGCACTGGCCATCTGAGTCTAAAACTTTGACCCATTTCAAGCCGCTTGGGAACCGAACTCTGGAAGATTCCAGCCCCGTTTCAGGTGCCATGTGTGGAAGACTGGAGCAGAGTCTTGACCCCAGCCATGGAAGTTGACACTTGAAGTGCTGCACGTGATTAGGACCCGGGTTGGCAATTTACGGAGGCACTTGGTTCTCCATTCGTAGACTCAAAGATTTTCGAGCCATTTAAGTCCAGAACCCAAAGCCCAAGGCTCTCACCTGGTACAACCCATGCTGCTTGCTTTTGCTCTCGTCATCGCAGCCTCGGCTGCGCCCTGCCCTCCCGATGCAGCACCTTTCATCAGATCTGGTGATGGGATCCAAGTCCAGTATGCAAACTTATTCACGGTGCATTATTACCAAACCTACAAGGTCATCAAGTACAATCCAACGCAGTCGACACTGAAGAG